CGCTGTAAGGAATGTGCCGATTTTTACAGCGAAAAAATTAAAAACGAAAAGTGTCTTAGAAATACAAACACAAGTTAATCTTTGATTTTTATCAATTTTATTTGGTCCGACAGATTTCTTTTCGGTCCGTCAGATTTTCATGGTTTGTCAGACCGAATGTCTGACAGTTTTTTTCAACTTTCGGGAAGTCTGAACAAGTTTATCACTTTGTGCAACAAATTATTATAACTATGTTAATAATTCTAATAGTAAAGAAATTAAATGAATTGACAATCATACATGAATCCACATAAATAGAAAGAGAAATACCCCATATGTTAACCCTGACCTGACAGAATAATAGGAAATAAACAGATATATCAGATGCCCTGTAGACCTAGAGTCTGTATCAATATGTTTAAACAATGTTGCTGTATCAAACATAAGCTGCATTAGTCTCCATACCCAGGAGAAAATCATGAAAAAGACCTCTCTCTCTATTCTATTCTATTGTTTATAATTTCTGGGGAGAAGCCAGTTAATAAATCTCCTTTAATTATTTTTCCAAGGAAAACAGGCAGCATAGTGAGTTATAATTATTCTAATGTAACTTGCAGAAACAATAAAAGCTGAACCTAAAACTCATTATACGAATCAAAACATAATAATGCTGCAAAAATTCTACAAGCAAACAAATTAACTACTTCAAATCTTTACATGTCATCAGGCAGCACCATTTCTAAAGAAATTTTAAAACTGAGAAACAAAAATCTCAAACTGTCTGGTAAGTTAATTCTATGCAGTTGGAAAATCAGCAGCATAATTATGGAATGAAAACTTTTAATATTTTAGGGACAAATAAATTGGTCAAGATTTATATATTAATAGTCGGGCTGTTCCATAACTTATGAAATGTCTGCATTTTACTAGGTATCCCAAACAGCAATGAAAACCAGCACAATATTTGAGTATTTTATGGCTACGGCAAAAATGACACTGGATTATTCATTCAACTAATACAGATGATTAGCAATGTTAAGATTATTCATATTGAATATGATTAATGAAATGATTTTCTATCATGACAAAAGCAAAACTGCATCTCTATTCATGCATGCATTTCATAATAAAATTTGTGTGACAGTAATGAGTTTATCTGTACTTAGGTTATATATATTTAAATACATAGACCAAGTAATTGAGAACTACTTGAAGATATAACATTATTTTGAACTCAAAACCTGCTGCATTAAAATGGCCTCTTTTGACCAGCAAAGAAACCAAAAAAGGTGAAAGGTTACACATGTGATTATCTCGTAACAATAAACATGAGACAATCAGCAAACGCTGCAATAACAGAATGTCTGACTCATCCCAATTAGTACTTGTCATTCAAGATGTACTTTAACTCTCACTGCACTTTATACCTTAAACAGATTTGTATACCTTTCAATCTGGACAAAAAACCATGAATTCAACATTTGTAGGGAAATTTTTTCAAAATATATACTGACTGAATAGGGAATAGTGCAGACATTAACAACATAAAATTATCAAATAATTTTTCAGCCTTTTAAAAAATCTTAGCATATTTCTGCATTTCATTCTCTTGAACAGTGAAATATTATTCAATGCTAGACACCATCATTTAGTTTCTACATCACTATAATGAAGTTGTAGCATTTTAGCTTACAGTGAAATTCTGGAATTTAAGTTTTCCTAGTAAAAAAACTTATTACAGATCAGTTTCAAAACAAAACATGTATTTTTCTACCGATTTCTGCAATACAAATGAAATGAGGTTAAAATGGACCTAGCCGTATACATACATGTTTAACTATCTCACATATTGATGATCAGAAATTTTCATGTTACTTTGAGTTTGTATTTGGCAATCTCAAAGGTGAAATTAAATTTCTAAATAAGAATAAGAAATAACTAGATGCACTTAAGTAAAACAATTTTTGCAGGCATCATCAACAACAATAATTGATACTACATTTTTGTTATATACAGTACACATTTACTTTGGCTCAGTGGTCTATAGCAATGTGCTTACTTGTTTGTACACCAAAGGTTGTCAGTTTGATTTCCAAAAACCAGCAGGTTTTTTTTTCTGATGCATTTGTATAGATCTTTGTATCTGTTACTTAGATTTTTTTTAAGTTAATAATGGATGTTTCAAATAGTAATGATTTTTTGAAAATCATGAATTCTTCTCTTGTTTTCAACTTACAGATCTCAACAATATTTATACATGAAAGCTGATATTCCAGGTACATGTACATGTAACTTAATTAATACTTCTACACCTTGTGACAGAGTAGTGTGATATTGCTGCCAACCATAATTATATAAAGCATTATAATACATTGTTCACATCCTTTGATCTCATCAGCATTTCATAATTATGAATAAATGATACACAAAAGTATCTCAAGTCTTATTATTTACAAATAAATCTGTAATGCTAACTAGTTTCCCATTAATGTATTTTCTAGCATAGGATTTTTTTTTCTTGTTCAGAAAACAGCATAAAATGAAAATTTTACACAAGTGAACAATTTTATTATTGGTGCAACAACTGTAACATAGTAATAAAGCATAAGGAATCTTAAAATTTTAATCAATAGTTTATATTTAACTTATAATAAAGGGCCTGTAAAATACTAGAGCTGTTCTAAGACAGTACCCTTGACTGTTATAAGTAGTTGATAGTGGAATTATTATCCAATAAGAACAAGTTCTTAAAAGGTAATACTAAAGAAAAGGTGAATGGTCTTTAAAAACTATCCTTGAAAGTGAAAAATGAACAGAGCTATGTACTGAATAAGCCAATATTTTTGACAAGAGTTGTGATTTGTGAAGTGGAATTTAAAGTAAAAAGTCAAAGTTTAATAGCAATACCTCAAAAGATATAGAAAAGAAATAGAGCAGTATGAAAAGAAAACAACCAAAAACTGGTGTGGTCCAGCTTAAATGTAACATTCTGACTTTCAAATAAATAACCTTTATATTTATTATTACCTAATACATTTTCTGCAAAATAAGTCCTGAACTTTAGAGGCTTACTTTCTTCATCACATTATCAATTGACCAATTCTTTCAATTAGTGTGTACAAAGCCTGTTTTTCTGTAATATCACAATCAAGTCCCAACATTTAAAGACCAATAGCACACTTGTTTTTATGCAAGTATCTTATGCTTTGCATAAATCTATTAAGTCATCAGAACGATAAAACAATACAAGAGTATAAGACAAAATTCCATAATTCAAATGTTTGCCAAAATATTAAATTGATAGTGTTAAACAAATATAAATAATAATATACAGAAGACGCAAATCTGTAATCTTCCATACATAGACACACAAGATAAACGATAAACATAGATACATAGGATAAACTTAGACACACAGGTTACAATTAGACATGCAGGGTAAAATTAAACAAAGGATAAACATAGATACAAATGATGACACACAGGATTAACTTAAACACAAAGGATAACTAGGCCAAAAGGATAAACATATTAAACACAGGATAAACTTACAAACAAATGATAACATTAAGACATACAGGAGACACATAGGATAAACTTCGAACAAAGGAAAAACTAAGACACACACAATAAATTTAGACACAAAGGATAAAGTTAGACAAAAAGAATCAACTTAGACACACAGGATAAACTAGAGGATGCTTTTGTAAAAAAGCGCATGTCTCCCCCACTGCTGAGAATAACTGTGAATGGAAACAGGAATGGAAATGGAGATAAGATAATGTAAATACCCGGTAGTCACTTCAATGAAGGCTGTCTATGGATGGTTTCTATTGTTAAGGTTGTATGAGAAGATGCTTCCTAAACTGTTTGTTTTTAACCAGGTATTCAATTTTGAAAATCCTGGTTATTCAATCAGCGTTTGGCAGGCGGGCGTCAAACGAGATTGCACTTGATGGTCATATTAAAAGAGGGATCATCTGCTCAATAAGACCAATCATCCTATGAAGTTTGAGGGTTGTAGGTCTAAAGGAACTCTAGTTATCATCCGGAAAGGAGAAATTAACCAACGGTCGCTGTGACCTTGACCTTTGACCTACTGACCATTAAAACAATAGGGATCATTTGATTAATAAGACCAATCATCCTATGAAGTTTGAGGGTTGTAGGTCAAAAGGAACTCTAGTTATCATCCGGAAATGAGAAATTGACCAACGGTCACTGTGACCTTGACCTTTGACCTACTGACCCCAAAAACAAATAGGGATCATATGCTCTATAAGACCAATCATCCTATGAAGTTTGAGGGCTGTAGGTCAAAAGGAACTCTAGTTATCATCCGGAAACGAGAAATTGACCAACGGTCACTGTGACCTTGACCTTTGAACTACTGACCCCAAAAACAATAGGGATCATCTGCTCAATAAGACCAATCATCCTATGAAGTTTGAGGTCTGTAGGTCTAAAGGAACTCTAGTTATCATCCGGAAACGAGAAATTGACCAACGGTCAGTGTGACCTTGACCTTTGACCTACTGACCCCAAAAACAATAGGGATCATCAGCTCTATAAGACCAATCATCCTATGAAGTTTGAGGGCTGTAGGTCAAAAGGAACTCTAGTTATCATCCGGAAACGAGAAATTGACCAACGGTCACTGTGACCTTGACCTTTGAACTACTGACCCCAAAAACAATAGGGATCATCTGCTCAATAAGACCATTCATCCTATGAAGTTTGAGAGCTGTAGGTCAAAAGGAACTCTAGTTATCGTCCGGAAACGAAGAATGGACGGACGGACGGACTGACGGACGGACGGACTGACGGACTGACGGACGGACGGACTGACGGACGGACGGACAGGGCAAAAACAATATGTCTCCCCCCGAGGTGGGGGAGACATAATTAAGACATGAAGAATAAACTTAGAACACAATGGAAAAACTTAGACACATAGAATAAACTTAGACACAATGATAATTTAGGCACACAGGATAAACTTACAAAATAATAAAACTTACCAGTAAGCTGTCTATGTTTAGTTCTGAATTCGGATTTCGTAGCCTATCCTCTATCACTTTCAGCCGTTGGTGTGACGGCGGTATATGACTCATATTGATGCTGTCAAGTTACTTGAAGTCTGAAACAAATGAAATACAACAAATTGTAGAGGAATCAGTGGATATTGTCATTAATAACTGACTAATCAAAAGTTCAAAACTACAGATGTTGAATAAAATTTCTTATTGTAATGAAAAAGATTTACATATTTACTAATGTATACAGATATGTTTCAAGTCTTATGACTAACAAATTGACAAAAGATAAAACAGAAACTGGAGCTGAACACATTTCTTCAGTACAGTAATAATGAAATTTCAGAACATGCACCAATTTGTACAAAGCAAGTATACTTTCTTGATCATTAAGAAGTCAAGCCATAATGGAAAGATATATCTACCTATAATGTAATAGCTTGGATGGTTTTCTTAACCTTAATATTACACACAAAACTCAAAATGCTGAGTCATTGATGATATGTGGACTGGTACATAAAGTTTTATTTTCAGAGAAACCATGAATGTGTTACAATTGTTGGCGACAACTTTGAGAATATCACTATTTGGTTAATAAGAAATCAGTCAATAATGTCAATAATCATGGACAAACAAGACCCAATACTGTTTATGTGTCTGTGAATTTACAAAAAAAGGCAATCCCTATGTTGGTGTATTTAACATCAAGACCATAAAACCCCTTGTAAAAATCTCCGGAAAGAATGACAAAGTCACATATTGTAGCCTTTGTGCAATAACTGGTTAACTCCTATTAAATTTGGATGGACTTAACCTGTTACTTCTGTGACCGTTCTGAACTGTTCACTATTTAGGGGAGAAGATGTATAAGCAGCCGGATAGCTCAGAGCCACGGTACGGTATTCTGAGGGTCCTGGGTTCGAGTTCTGTCGGGATGCACATTTTTCTCACCCTGTGACATTTGGCGCCCAACGGGGGACCGTGACTGAATATAGCTCAGATTTTAATTCACATTGCTCTGAAGCTCTGTGAAATTTTGAGGGAAGTATGTCACGGTTCAGAACTGTTCACCATTTAGGGGAGAAGATGTGTAGGTGGCCAGATAGCTCAGTTTGTAGAGCTGCAGTACAGTTTTCAGAGGGTCCCTGGTTCGAGTCCTGGTCAGGCTGCACATTTTTCTCATCCTGTGACACTTCATTCCCTGAAGGTGTCAATATGCTAATTATAAGTTTAATACAAATTCACTGTGCACTTTTAACTTGAGCATGATGTTTTTTTTTATATATACAACAATCTTTTTTTAATAGGTTAATGTGTGAACATGTCTTTGGCCCTCTCTTTGTGTGGCATCACCATGCACTAACAATTATTGATGTTCCTGTCCACACTTATGTCATCATGATCTTTCTGATATGTTTAAACCAATTAGCACTCTGTATTACTGACATATTAATGTTGTATTACTGACGTACTTAGCGTTTCCTATATGCAAAGATCGAAAATTCCTCTTGTTGCTTGTAATTACGAGTAGAATTTAAAGGCAAGTAGAAAAATGTTGCCTGTATATGTCTGCATTGAATTTCATTGATGAATTTAAAAATTAATATTTTGTTTGAAGCAGAACAATCTCAATCACAACTAAACAATTCATGATTTTTGAATGAGATCAATTAATTAATTATTCCAATGTATGCATAATTAGAGCATGTCAGTATACAGAGTTTGAGTTGTTTTTTTTTTCATAAGCAACACAAATATTTTTTGACATGCACTTTTTTATATCTTGACACACATCCTAGAAATGGCCTGCTTTGATAGGTATCAAAACAAAACAAATAATTATTGCAATGACTTTCACTTTCTAAAAAGCAATTCTGAACAATTCAAATGGACTAAATTTTAGTAAAATATGAGACAACATGACAAATATGTAAATAACTATTTTCCTTACACATATTTGTTACATATATCTACGTAGGAAATAAATGTATACTCAGAAAGCGTAGACGGTTGATATTGGGTCACTCGACCGTTTTGAACAACAAATGGCGGAAATTGTTTTGCTTTTAACTCGAACATTAGAAAGTTTTTGTTTATTTTACACATTTAACACCTAGCAGGATGAAGAAAAAAGAGGCTGTAAGTTACGATAAATTCAGGGTAAAAAGATGACCAATTTAAAATAAATGTTATGCTAGTTCTTTAGTGAAATACCTACATATTTCGCATATTTGCTGTTCACAAATCTCGGGTGTGACGTAAAAATTAACGGGAGATAACTATACAATATCAAGTGGAAAAGATAAAACGCTAACGAATTGATTTTGAGATGTTCTTATCATCGACATCCATCCATCGATTAACAGCTTCGAATTTTAGTTCAGGCTAATCAAATACACTGTGTGTATTATTTGTGTCTTGGGAATTACCTTAACGGCTACTAAAATTTCTTAAGATTTGTTTATCTTTTTTTCTCACTGTAATCATGTGGCAAATTGTGGCAAGGGGAAATCCTGAATTGATCATTATGATTATCAATTATATACAGAGCTCTATGATCTATCAATTTTTCTTGTAATCTAAACCAATACGCATACATTTGACAGTGTTAATACCTATATGCGAAGTATGACAAAAATCATTGCTATAACTTAAATCAAAGACCTATATTAGGATACATATTTCCACAGATATATAGCTCTGTGATAGTTCCGAGATCATGATATTATATTATGAGGTTAAGTTATATATTGTTGAGTACAATACTGAATTGTAATGGACAGGTACACAACTGTCAAATCTATATTGGACAAGGTACTAGCTGAGTCTGATATAGGATTTTCACTTGATTAAGAGTCCCATAGAATCTCATGACAGAACTTTATACTTTAAGTACAATAAGGAATTGATATATAAAAAAAATGTAACCTTGTACCTTAAAAATGAAACTGAGGCCAGATAGTGTATGATATATAGTTGATATAGTTTATACTCTGAAAATTAGGCTATATGGGGTATGTTATGCATTTGATATGGATTTTTTGGACATTGAAAATGGAAATAAGGCTGGCAAATTGATAGACTGGATCAGATAATGATTTCTATTGAAACATCACATGGCTTGAACACTGAAATTTTATTGGTTTCTTTTTATAAGGTGTGAAATAAATATTCAGTTTTTGAAATTTTCCTTGCTCTGATCATGATTGAGGGATTCAGTGGTTACTTACTGTAACAGTTTTATGGCTGTTTCCTTAGTAACTCAGAATACTACTTAATGTTCTATGATGTACGCTTGCAAATTACAATGACTATGATATTCAGCACATTAAATGCTTGATACTTATCAGACATCTTTTGTGACTTTATTCAAATTGTCATTCAAATAATTATATAAAAAGAGCCCATTTACCTGCTGGTCAGTTTTGTTTGAAAATCAAATGAAAACAAGCAAATTCGTTGAATTTATATCCCCCGCCGAGTACAGGTTATTATTAACACAACAACTGAAGACATAAGGCTTTATTTATATATTAATCATGGCATAAACTGTAATATTCTTTGAACTTGAAGCCTTGTACCTTCAAACAAGAAGAAGTTTTCACTATATACATATAAGGTAAATCTATGACCCCCTGGAGTGGGGCCAATTTTGACCCCAGGGCTAAAATTTGAACAATTTTGGTAGAGGACCTATAGGTTATATCATATACCAAATATAAAAGCTCTAGGCCTTGTACTTTCAGACAAGATTTTTTAATTTTGCATTTTTGAAACTCCTTTTCTGGCCCTGTGACCTACTTATGCAACAGACCGGAACCATTTGATCAACTTTTGCAGGGGACCACCCTAGGATCATTCCTATAAAGTTTGGTTGCTGTGCAGTCATTTGTTCTGAGGAGATGTTGTTTAAAGAAATTGCTGACGACGCACGACGACGGACAGTCAGGGGGATCACAATAGCTCACCTAGATGTAAAAACATCTTAATCTCCAGACTTTATTGCCATTTTCAAGGCATCAAGAAGGGATCTCACAATTTTCAAATATTTTTAAATTTTATTGTAACAAATCATTTTAATTCTTCTTTAATAAAAACTAGAAATGTGTCCATCGGACACGGGTGCCCCCACCGCGCCACTGTTCTGTCAATCTTATGACTCTAGGTCAAATATTTTTTGAAAACTAAAAATCTTTTTACTAAGTAAAGGGCAAGAACTTTACAAATACTGAATATATCCCCAAGCAAACCCCAAGTTGAAAATTGCAAATTTAAACTACTGTAATTCAAGGGCAATAACACTAACAAAACTGAAAAAAATCCACATGCAAAGTCCCAGGTTCATAGCTTCACAGTGAGGTGAATCATTATTCCTGTAATTTAGTGATGTTGATCATTATTCCTGTAAAGTTCTAACTCAAGCACTCAAGGATCAAATAACAACATAATGAAACAGTTTTTACTATGTCAAGGGAAATAACTTTACAAATACTGGGTAAATCCACAAGCGAAACCCAAGAAACAAACTAAATATGCTGAGCAACTTTCCAATAAGGTTTAATGACTCTATGTCAAATCCTTTTTGAGTTACATGCGACACATGTTGAAAATTGCAAACATTTTCAAAGTCAAGGGCAATAACTCTAAAAATACTAAATAAATCCAGACGAAAATACCCAGGTGCACAACTACACATGCTGATCAACATTCCTGTAAAGTATCATGACTTTAGGTCAAATACTTTTTGAGTTACATGCGACACAAGTTGAAAATTGCAAAATTTTACTAAGTCAAGGGCAATAACTCTAAAAATAGTAAAAATATCCGGACGAAAATACCCAGGTGCTCAACTACACATACTGATCAACATTCCTGTAAAGTTTCATGACTCTAGGTCAAATACTTTTTGAGTTACATGCGACACAAGTTGAAAATTACAAAATTTTACTAAGTCAAGGGCAATAACTCTAAAAATACTAAAAATATCCAGACGAAAATACCCAGGTGCACAACTTCACATGCTGATCAACATTCCCATAAAGTTTCGTTGAATTCCAGCCATTAGTTGCAGAGAACTACTCCGGAAACGAAATTCGGACGTTTTACTAAGTCAAGGGCAATAACTCTAAAAATATCCAGAAAAAATACCTAGGTGCACAACTTCACATGCTGATCAACATTCCCATAAAGTTTCGTTGAATTCCAGCCATTAGTTGCAGAGAACTACTCCGGAAACGAAATTCGGATGTTTACTAAGTCAAGGGCAATAACTCTAAAAATACTAAAAATATCCAGATGAAAATACCTAGGTGCACAACTTCACATGCTGATCAACATTCCCATAAAGTTTTGTTGAATTCCTCCCATTAGTTGCAGAGAACTACTCCGGAAACGAAATTCGGACGGACGGATGGACGGACGGACGGACGGAAGGACGGACAACGCCAAAACTATATCCCCCTCCCGATTCCATCTGCGGGGGATAATAAAAATCGAATTATGATCAAAAGCCTTTAACATGATTTAAAATGCCTTTTATCTGTTGTCATAGCAACTAAATGAAATTGTATTTGTGGCAATTCAATACTGAATATCAGAAGCAGATCACTTTTGTTTCAAACAGTGATGATGGCAATGTGTTTTTGAGGTTGGAATCAATAATCAATTCACCAATGTATTACTTAAGGGCAGGATAACTGTATCACTTTAGTAAGTAAAACACATACAATAATTGAAACAAAACTACATTTATTGCAGTAAATATAATGTACAAAACATTGAAAATGAGATAACAAGATGTATCTGATAAACTATTATTACCAAAAAATCCATCACATTGCCTTATAAAAGATATTGGTAAACATTTTGAAATTTTGTATAAACACCGTAAAGTAGTAAAAACACAATATTTACACCAACACCACCTTTGGGATTTGAACCCACAGCAGTGAGGGTGATATCTTTGTAAACATAGATGTACCAATATCTTTAAATGATATGTTATACCCTTATATAATATTATATTATAACATCACATCAACAAGGCATATTGTTCACATAAACAATGTAAAAATACATACTTTATCAGATCTTGACTTAGACAAACAAGGACGGACATAATAGCAAGTATGTCAGCTGTTTTGTTTTTTAACTCTCAAACACATTACACTATAATGAACATTTAGTTTCAAGTTGAAAAACAAACTGTCTTATTAACATGATTATTCTTAGAAAATTAATTTACAATGTACATGAGTTGAGTCAAAAGACATAAATTTCATATTTTCTTTAATTTATCAAAAAACAATACTATTGATAGCCTCCCTGTAAGAAATGCTTATCTTTTTTGACAATTTGATATCTCTATAACTTTGTCTGAATCTTTAATTCTATATATACAGACATAACAAAGAAAGAATGTTACTAACTCTATATATACAGAAATAACAAATAATGAATGTTACAGCAAGAATGGTCCAGCAACATAACCTCAAATAAAAGTATCTTTTAAATAAAAGTATCTAATTAATACAAATTGAATTACTTGCAAAAAGTGATCCACATATCATTTAAATGAGGCAAAATAATTACGATAATAAGTGCCTCAAAAGGAAATATAGTTTAAACTTGAAATTTTCTCTCATCCTTAACTCTACACAAAGTTTTAATTGGATGTTAAAATATAGAGGTATGAACCATCAACTGCATGTAGCTGCAGGCTCTTACTGTTATCATATATTCTTCTGAAAACAAGGATTCAAATATGGTTAATTTTACAAAGATACCAAATAAACTGTCAATTCTACATCATGAAAATCCATTGTTTCAAATACATCTGTGATTTGAGGATCAGTCTTTTAAAAATTTAAGCTCTGCCATTGGTTAATTTCAAATCAGATGTCTAAATAAACCAATTAGATACTTTAGTTACATTTGAGTGGTAACCATTCCAAATTCTTAAATCATTGATATTTGGATACACTTTAGTTTTGGCAGAAATTATATTAAGATAAATGTTCACACAAAACGAATCTAAATTGTTCTTTTAATAAATCTAAAAAAATGAGTGAAACAATAAAATTGTAATAATAACATTCTATGTACAATGATAAAAACAGCTATAAAATACTAAAAAAACATTCTATTAATAAAAATCTGTTTAAATTATTCTGCAACTTGAGTATTCTGAGCAACAAAAATAGTCCATACACAGCAGCAACAAAAAAGCCTAAATTCTATTTCAAGTAGCAGATTCAGCACTGTAACAGAACCCTTAACATTTTATTTAATTTCAAAATTTTTTGTTCCCATCAAGAGTTGAAGGGATTTTGTTAATATCTTGACATTGATGTTTGACATAATCATGGTAATAGGCAAATATCTGGGGAGAGGGTGGGGGCATGGTTGTTTGAAGTAATACAAGACTAATTATTAATGAAACTGCAAGCAAATAATAAAGTACAATTTTTTTAAACTTGAAATAAAATTAAAGTTGCTGTTTGCGTCAAAAACACTTCAGAATTTGCAAATTAAAAGAGTAATACTAGCACAAAATTATTAAACCCACTTTGGACACTTGGAACGAACAATTCTAAACATTATGTTTTAAGATTTTTTTAACCACTGATTTTTCACAATTTTTCAGTAATACGACAAATATTAAAAAAAAAGAAAAAGAAACAACTGCAAATACAATTTGCATCAATCTTATTACAAATGACATGTTAAGGTTACAAAACACCTCAAGAGTTTTAATTTAATAAAATACAAATTAAACAACAAGCTCAACCACTTGAATAAACTTAAATTAGATAAACAAAAGGCTGCAGATTCATTTCTTTATGAATCAACAATAGATCTAGAAAGTGATGTTCTAATTTTTCAAATATCATTTATTTTACTATCTTAAGTAATTATCACTCGATGAAGTTGGATTTTTTTTGTTCTGCTTTACTTATATCAAACTAAATTGTTACATTTTTGCATGAATATTGTTATTCTTCCATGTCAATGAGCAAATACAAAAGAAAATACCAACTAAGTAAGGCAATTTATCGCCATTAAAAAATTAAAGAATACACACTATGTACATATGCAATTAGGGGTGTCATGGTTAGACAAAATGCTGTTAAAAAGGCGACATAGTAAAAGTGTTAAAAGTTTAACTGACTGTACTAATAAATTCCTAAGATTTTCATGTTTATGTTTATGACAAGATATGCCATTTTGTTCATATTTTGTTGTACTCAAAATGGTTATATAACATATCCCAATATGGAGTAAATATTTTCCTCAAGGGTCGTACCGTATTAATTTTGATCAGATCAGAAAAAAATATTGTTGAGTACAACTAAAGTACAGACAATTGTCATATCTTGTCATAAAAAAAACTATGGTAATATTTTGAATCAATTTAAAACTTTTCTGCCCCTTAGTCAAATACTAACCTCAGTTACGGGTTATTGAATTTTCTAACCGGTTTTTAGCTAAAAACCGACCATACCCCTTTAAACTGATAAACTTGACAACCCTGTATGCAATTGTTCTTTAAGGCTTTATTTTGAAGAAGATAAAGATTTGTGTCATGTTCAAAAGGAAATAAATAACTTTATTCATTAAGTGGTGCTTGCAACTGATATGTAATTATTAAACTCTGATATGTATATTATAGTTTCTTACAAAATATATAATTAGAACAAATGAGCCGCGTAACCAACATAATGCGTTTGCAACCAGCATGGATCCAGACCAGCCTGCGCATCCGCGCAGTCGGATCAGATCCATGCTGTTCGCTTACAAACCCTATAACAAGAAGAGGAACTGATAGAGAACAGCATGGATCCTGATCAGACTGCGCGGATGCCCAGACTGGTCTGGATCCATGCTGGTCGCAAACGCATTACCTTGGTTTTGTCATGGCGGGGCTCAAATGTATAATAACAACACCAACCTTATCACATCTAGAAGATATAAATTGATAAAAATAATACATGCATATTGTAAAATATTGATATGTCATCTCCAGGAATGTGACAGAAATACATCGTAAAAAATGCTCAAAACTTTATCCTGATATTCAATACAAAATATGAGAACAGTCGTGCATATGTTAAACTGTAACCACAAAAAATAACAGATTATTACATCACAAAGTGGAGGTTATGAAATAAAGAGACAAAATAAAAAAAACAAAAACACTTGATTATTTATTGAACAAAATATGCTGAGTAATTTATATAAAAAAGAAGAAATTATAGTGGATATAAAATTGATAATTAAGTTCCGATATATTTTGTCACTGATAATATAAAAATCATTTTACATTTTCTGAAGACAAACCACATTAATAAAACAAGAGCTGTCGGTAGGACAGCATGCCTCACTATTCTCAGTGCTTGATTGTAAAATACTAAGTAAGAGTCTGGATAATGTAGAATCTTCTAAGATCAAAAAAGGTCATTACTCTGTCAAAATCAATGATAGAGTTACGGGCCTTGGACAATGAACTTTTTTATGCTCTTAAATAAGTGTGTGACATAGTGAATTAAAAATTAAAGTAAAAACATCAACTTTGCAAATACATTTGCTTACATATTGAGAGGTAACACGAAAACTGTTTTTATATATCACTTATCATAGATTTTAAAACATGTTTGCTTCAATTTTTCTTAGAAAAAATTTTGACAAGTGTCTTTCAGCAGATTTTCAATGTCTTGTTTAAAGTTATTTCATACTTTTCATATTTATTCCATATTATTTCAAATTTTCTTATACAATATTTCCCCAATAGAAATGATAAATAAGTCATTTTCTGCCTATAATCTGAGTAAGCTTTTGTTTAAATATATTACTTAATTCAAACACAAAATAAACCTCACAGCTATTTTCAAACATCATCATATCAACTCTCCCCATGTGGCAGCATACCTTTGTTCTAGCTTATACATTATAAAAAACGAGACAACATCAATAAAAGACATAATTAAAATGATATATGAATGCTCTACAACAAAGTATCACAGATAAAGTGTTAAAAACTGAATTGGTCATATCATGGTTGAGTATCAGATCAGTTCTAGATACATGTCTCTGCAGTTTTCTTAAACCAATATAATATAATATATATACACTGTTATAATCATCACACAAAAATAAATACCCTGGACTAATGCACACAATATTATTACTGTGAAAAAAAATGGGTTATCTTTTCTTGATTAATTATAACAAAATCATGATTTTTTTGTTTTTTTTTCTGTCACACCAACAATGCAAAGGTCATATGGCAACTTTCCAGTTGTACTGGTGGAGGAAAACCTCAGGTGCCCTTCTGTGCATTATTTCAGGCATGAGAGGGCACCGAGTAGAACCACCGGCATTCCATAAGCTAACTGGCAAGACAAAATCATGAAAGAAGGAAAATCAATGAAATCTTAATACTAGACAAAAGCCCTATTCTTGCAATAAATAGTGCAAATTCTATAATTATCATTTACAACTTTCAACATAAATAATAATATTAATAAGCATCTAAAAAGACAAAGACTATCATGTGTTGAAATTATCAGATTTTAAAATTCTTAACATCTTTTTACACTAAAATTTCTTATTTGTTTTTTTTTTTTATTCTTTTGTTTTGGTACCAGATATGTTAAATAGCTTTTGAACAAAATTGAAACTATTAAAGAATACCGCTTATATTGACAAGCAATGGTAATCACTGTAGATAGTACATACCTAGTGCTAGGCTAAACCATTTAAGTTGCACACTTGACAATAATTTTATTCATTTGAACAGTTTTAAGCCCTTAAGTTAACCTGCCAAATTTCTAAAAATAGACTTGTCCAGCTTCTATTTCTGGAACTATCAATTTTCCTTTAAGGGATATCAAGATGAAAATTTGAAGTTGGTCAGCCAACAGTATATAACCTGGTCTGTTTGCTTGGATATGCATCCTGTCCTGACTCTATAATGCCGTTCAACAGGTTAAGGTTTAAATTTAAATTTTTTTTTTTTAAAAATGACACACACTTAACTGGATGCATGCTGCTTTAAAACTCATATTAAACTATATAACCATGTTTAAATATAATAATATTTTTCAAAACACAAATGAGAACTTCATTTGAAGCAAAGTAAAAATACAAAACATTTCTATGGTTTGCAGGTATAACATATACCCTGGTTTCCTTTAACTTACAACACAAGATCAGATCTAAAAATAAATAAAAATAATAATACATTTAATTTGCAAAGAAGTGTACAAGCATGAGATTAGCAATCAAAAGTCATTTGTGATTGAAAATGAAAATTTGAAAACATACACAGATTGGATTACATCTTAAAAAATTAACATAAAGAAAAACAGTTAATTTACAATAACCGGTCTCCCTATACATGTTTTTTTAAAAAAAACCCTTAAAACAAACAAATACACACACAAAAAATCACAACATGCTAACTTCCCTTGATATGTTTGGTTAATATGAAAATATAAACCGTATATTGTTATAAAATCACAACCCCTTGATATGTTAGGTAAATATGAAAATTACTATCTCAACAAAGGGTAAACCGTTTACTGTTATAAAATCACGTTAGGTAAATATAAATTTCTATCTCAACAAAGGGTAAACATTATATTGTTATAAAATCACAACCCCTTGATATGTTAGGTAAATATGAAAATTTCTATCTCAACAAAGGGTAAACCGTATATTGCTATAAAATCACAACCCCTAATATGAAAATTTCTATCTCAACAAAGGTTAAACCGAATATTGTTACAAAATCACAACCCCTTGATCTGTTAGGTAAATATGAAAATTTCTATCTCCCAACAAAGGTAAACCATATATTGATATAAAATCACGTTTTTGTTCTTGATATGTTAGGTATATATGAAAATTTCCATCTCAACAAAGGGTAAACTGTAATATTGCTATAAAATCACAACATGGTTACTGCCCTTGATATGTTAGGTAAATATGAAAATTCCCATCTCAACAGGGGGTAAACCGTATTATTGCTATACACTCTCAGTACCTATATTTGTGGCAACAAAACCAATATTTGCATATGTGTAAAATAGTTAAAACCATCAATCTTACAACATCATTATCTTCTTTTTTATTTAGGTATTAACAAGGTGTATTACCATTCTGTAATGACCTTGATGTAAACTAAACTTCATTTAATAATGTTTTTAAACCTCTCATTGAAAAATGTATATCCTGAACATACAAAAGAAACACATTATTACAAAATGAGTAGACCTTCAAAACTTAACTAGAATTTTGCAATGTAATAATAAAAATGTTCTTAAAATAAACTAATCAAAGGAAACACCAAAATCCAGCAGAAACAATTCTTGTTCACCTCAATTGCAAGTCTGATTACCTTATAAACATGCATTTTTACCCATAGAATTCATTTTTAAGCCAGTAGAGTTGATTTTTTTTCAGTTTCATTCTGGTTTCTAAATTATTTTATCTACATCTTTAACAAAAGGAAGGGGGTTAATTCCTACCCCTTTAAATCCATCTTGAAAAAAGAAATATAATAAACAAATATTACAAAACAAAAAAAAAATATTTTTTTCAGAATACATGAAACACATCCATAAAATTTGTTCTGTTTGAGCTGTTTTGTGAGTAGTCAGGTAGACCCTGGTTTCCATGGTAATGGTTTTAATGAAGTGAGCGGTACACAAAAATTGTCATGGCTATCTCAATAATCTGAAATATAAAATATTTAATTATATAAAAAATGTGGCAAAGTTGAATGTAACACACTTTATAACAACATAGGCAATGGTCAGAAACAAGTATTCCAGAATTTTTAAGCAATACATCAAAGTTAAAATGTTAGGTGGTTAAGAAGAGCTAAAAAGGTGTCATAATTTTGTCAAAACCTGTGACACATTTCTGTACTCTTGCCTAGAAGTGAAAGTGTTGATCATTAACAAGGGGTATATGTTTCAGGGCAAACATCTCTTAAAATACAGCAGTTTACATTAACACTGAAATATTAAAAATGATGTAGGTCTAGATCAATAACTTGTATGCAAAATTTCAGATCATTCGCTCACAACGTTTTTTCTAGAGTAATTATTCTAATTGTGAAAAATGACCAAAAATTGAAAAGCGTTGGAATTGCAATGCTTTTCACTCAATCAGGTAAAGAAAGCACAAAAAATATGATTTTTAATTTATTTCTGACAATATTACTTAATTATATTTTGCATATCTTCCTGTTTTAAGTGCCAAAGTTTGTGTATGTAAGAATTTCAAATTTAATGTGCTTAAGTTTTTGGACCTCAATAGAGTTCCTTTAAAATTACCTTAAAGAACAAATCATCTAAATAACAAAGAAAACCCTGAAATATCTATGATACCATTATATTATAAAATACTTTAACTACAAAGTTCATACCATGAAAACTCCCATGACAACAGCAGTGGTCCCTATCAGTATTCCATTCTGTTCCAAATATTTCTCCAGTTTATCATAACAACCCTAAAATTATATCAAGATTTATAATACGCATAATATTATTTGTTATACTGTTTTATATTATATATCTATATTACTTTATAGACAGCTGCTGTGACTTATTTTTCACTCTTCTTCAAATAAAGATATAGCACGTCCCATTTATGCTCTGGTCCATACTCTCAATGCCTGAAATGGCAGATGGACCCTCATTAACACTAGAATGCACATACACCCATTTATGCTTTATAAGGACTACTGACAAATTATATTACTGTGTTTAAACAGTTATTTGCTATTGATTTCATTTTGTGTAAAGATTTTTTTGGGTGTGAAATAAGCACATAAAGTCATAGCATGTTATTGTGACAATAATAAAACTTACCTCTAGATATATTGTATAGTTTGAAGATAAAGCTGTAATCGGTGGTTTTCTGTATGGAGGGAAGTTGTTTGCTGCATCAGGTTTAAGACCCATACACATCTCCACATCTCCTGTCCTCTTACAACAACTCTCTGGTACACTAGCATCTATATTACACAAATTTTTATATTTTTGCTTGTTGGGTTTTACAATGCACCAACACTGTTAAGGTCATATGGCAACTTTCTAGCTTTACTGGTTGAGGAATACCTCTGGTTCCCTTGGTGCATTTTTAGGCAGGAACAGGCAACTGAGTAGAACTAATGACATTCTGTAAGCTAGCTGAATAGGTATTACACAATATAATAATATTATAGTTAGACATTTTAATAAGACAAATATTCTAAATATTACTAACAAGGGGCCTTGCTTGTCACTTCTCAACAGTGTTAACTGTGTAATAATTGACAATATGCACTTTTACACAATGACTCGGGTCATACACAAGATAATCCCAATAGCCCAGTTAGTGCTCATGCTTTGTGAGATGAAAAAGCTATTTTCAATGAAAAGATTTAAAATAAATTTGAGCTGCACCATGACAAAACCAACAAAAACCAACGTTTGCGACCAGCATAGATCCAGACACCCTGCACATTTGTGCAGTCTAATAAGGATCCATGCTGTTCGCTATTTGGTTTCTCTTTTTGTAATAGGGTTTGTACGTGAACAGCATGGATCCTAATCAGACTGCGCAGATCACAGGCTGGTCTGGATCCATGCTGGTCTCAAACACACTATGTTGGTTTTGTCGTGACGCGGCTTATATAATGGTGAGATACAAACTGTTGTTATAGTTATCCTTGAACCAGAAACTCTCTGACTGATACAAGTACCAGGATGTAGTTGTGTTCTCTCCACCATAACCTCCACAACAATCAAACTGAAAGTTATAAATAAAATACTTCATAAAAAAAATCAATATAACTTTCAACAACCAACATCCTGAAAATTATATGCTTTAACTAACGCTTTAGAATACTAGGTTGTTTATGACACAGGTTCTGAATCATTTTGCGCATCTTATTCCTGATGAAACCCACAGCACAGGCAGGAAGTTTTATATGAAAATAGGAAAGCTCTCTCTTTTAATGACAAGTGTCATGCTAAGGATTGATTTTATAACTGGTACAGGTTTCCTGGAACCTAAAAATGATGCAACCAGGAATCAAATTGACATATGACGTACAGGCCACTATGTTACCAAAATAGTCTAATATCTATAACAAAATGGCAAATTAAACACTTTGGTAAACATAACTGCCTCGGAAATGAAGAAGTTACTAGTAAAAGAATACCTTGCAAAATAGTTGAGTTATGGTTGTGGGCAATTAAGGATAGTTGTCGTTATTGTATGTTGCATTTCCTTTCAATATGGTTGACCATTGATGAAGTTTTATTGAATTACTCTGTAAAAAGTCCAGAACGAGTTACGCTTCTTGAGCACTGCACTTCCTCTCATTGCCCTTGACCATTGTATGAAGTAACATTGAATTCTAAACATGAGCTTATGCACCGGACAAGGAAAAGGGACAACGGGCAATAACTCAACAAATACTGAAGATTGAGTTATGGTTATTGTACACTGCACTTCCTCTCATTGCGCTTGACCATTGTATGAAGTTGTATTGAATTCCAACAACTAGTTTTCAAGTTATGCACTGGACAAAAGAAGTAACAAAGGGCAATAACTGTAATTTGTCCAAATAGAGATCTGGTTCTTGTGCACTGCACTTCATCTCACTGCCCTTGATCATTGTATGAAGTTTCATTGAATTCCAAACATTAATTTTCAAGTTATGCACTGGACAATAAAAAGTAACAAAGGGCAAAAACTCTTAAATGAGTCAAGAAAGAGTTATGGTTTCTGTGCACTGCACTTTTTCTCGATATACTTGACCATTGTATGAAATTGTATTGAATTCCAGCTGGTAGTTTTCAAGTTATGCTCTGGACAAGAAAAAAGCAAAAAAAAGTAGCAAAGGGCAATAACTCTATAATTACTCTGGACAGAGTTATGGTTCTTGTGCACTGCACTTCCTCTTATTATGCTTGACCATTGTATAAAGTTGTATTGAATTCTGACTAGTAGTTTTCAAGTTATGCTCTAGACAAGGAAAAGTAACAAAGGGCAATAACTCTGTAATTAATCAAGATGGAGTTATGGTTCTTGTGCATTGCACTTTCTCTCAATGTGCTTGTCCATTGTATGAAGTTATATTGAATTCCAACCTAAAGTCTTCAAGTTATGGTCCGGACAAAAGAAAGCAATGTAAAAGTAACAAAGGGCAATAACTCTGTTATTACTTTAGATAGAGTCATGGTTCTTGTGCACTGCACTTCCTCTCAATGTGCTTGATCATTGTATGAAGTTGTATTGAATTCCAATCATTAGTCTTCAAGTTATGGCTCCGGACAAAAAAAGCAATGGAAAAGTAACAAAGGGCAATAACTCTATAATTACTTTAGATAGAGTTATGGTTCTTGTGCACTGCACTTCCTTTCAATATGCTTGACCATTGTATGAAGTTATATTGAATTCCAACCTAAAGTCTTCAAGTTATGGCCGGGACAAAAGAAAGAAATGGAAAAGTAACAAAGGGCAATAACTCTCTAATTACTTTAGATAGAGTTATGGTTCTTGTGCACTGCACTTCCCCTAATTGTTCTTGATCATTGTATGAAGTGATATTGAATTCCAACCAGTACTTTTCAAGTTATACTCCGGACAAGGAAAAGTAACAAAGGGCAATAACTCTGTAATTAGTGGAGATAGTTATGGTTCCTGTGCACTGCACTTCCTCTCAATGTGCTTGATCATTGTATGAAGTTGTATTGAATTCCAACTATTAGTCTTCAAGTTATGCTCCGGACAAGGAAAATGCAACGGATTGCTGGACCGACCGACCGACCAACCACCAAGTGACTTCTATATACCCCCCCACCCCCACTTCGTTTCGGGGTATAATTAACAGTGTAAAAATGGTCTACAATAACAAATTTAACATAAATATGCACCTACCAGTATATTCCTTTTTTCAAATAAGGAATTCTATATTTAATTCTATATATTCTAAAGCTTATATAAATCATTCTGACATTAGATAACATATATATAAACCATGTAAGTAAGGACTTACTGCCTGTTGGATATCATCCCAGGCTCTTGTAATTGATTCTTTGCCTGGTGTCCCATACTTCTCTGTCACACTTTTCTTTAATGATCCCCTCACAGTGTCTTCAAGCTAAGCATAATAGCAATATCCAAATCATAAACACATTTTTGGGGTAATCTATTTTGCTTATTACTTTTTTTAATTAAATAAAAAATAAAACAATGAAAAATTTGTTCTTGACCATGGACAAAAAAATTAACAACATAACTACAGGTGATTTTATGTCAAATATTGTCAAATCAATCAAAAAAACTTTATGCATCTACATCTTCTCAACATTTTATGATTTTTTTTTTATATGATGAAGCATTAAATAATTCCATTTTTATTATTACCTCCCTTTATTTATTTATCTTACTGACTTACCTCCCCTACGAAAACATATCCCAGAATTCCAGCAGCAAACAGTGTGAAAGCAAGGAAAGTCATAACACACAGATGCTGAAACGTAAAGATATAGAATGAAAACAAGAGGACCAAGATGGCCATACGTTGCTCATTTGAGCGACACATTTTCGGCCCCCATTTTTTCATTTTTCATTGTTGTATCTTAACTTTCACATAATTTGTGATAAGGACAGGATTGTATCAAATGCACAATAGAGATACGAGTTTTTTTATAGTAACACAGTTCTTATTTAGGACTAACATAGGGCTAACATTTCTTGTACTTTTTGTTATCTGATTTATATAATAGAAGGATTTCAGCTGCTTTAGAGTAGACTATAATTACATGTACTTACAATATTATCATTTTTATTACATGTACTTACAATATTTATTATCATTTTTAAATTAAAAATAATACTTATGTTAACTGACACATACCAGACCAAGGAGACATTTCTGAGGTAGAAGATAACCGATCAATCCAACACCCATGATGCAAATTGTTACTGATCCGCATGCAATAAACAATGTAGAGTCAATGCTGTAGAGTGCCACTCCAATGAGACCCCCAACTGCCTTACTGCCATACTCTGACTCATGAGCCCAAATTCCAATGCCAAGAACAGCTACCCCACCCACCTGTATAACAGAAATACAACATTTATAAATCTTTGATATACCTGTAATAAAAAAAATAATAATCATAATTATATTTACCGGTAGTATAAATATCACACTTGTTTTAAAAAGTGGCTTATGCATATTTCTGAACCTATTTAATTTTTAGTAAAATAAAATTAAAAATAGTCATCTGAAAGTCCGGCTAATGGGTTAATATTAATGCATGGATTTTGTAATATGTCCTGATAAAATACTAAGAAGACAAAGGAAGTTTTAATTTAGTTACTAAGTACAACACATTAACCACCTGGCAATGCTGTCATTGTTTTCTCCGTTATTCCTTCCTTGAAGTATTTTATTTTAAACTTAAAATATATGTTTTATATCATCACAAACATTTTATTATTATGTGATAAATTTCATCACTCTAGCATAAACATTTTAGTAATATCTCCCCTAGTGCACCCTCAAACCCCTCTTTTTTTTCTACTGTAACTAATTTTTTCATCAGGGATTTACAAAATGTACTTCAAATAAATGGTCTTTTTCACTGTGATTTGATGCATTAAGTCTAGCATCTGCATTCCCACAATAATCTCCATTTTGAACTTTGATTTATTTGATAAATGTTCTTTTTTTTAAATTTTGTCTTCGTTGTTACCTATAATATCTACATGTACTTCCAGACTTAAGATAAATGTTATTTTTTGTTTCTTGTCAACACTAGATTATCATACATGTTGAAAGTCAAGAGGATTTTGGTAGTATTTACTATCTAAATAAACATTAAAGGTTGATAAAAAATATTTTTAAATAAGTTTATTTCTCTCTTTCTTTCATGTAAACAGGGGGCTTTAAACTTCCATAACATGAGCCACTGCATTAAGCAGGGGCTACACTTGATTTTTCCTTAGAATATTTCAAAGGGCAAACATATTAAATGAAACACATTGTGCTGAAGAATATTCAGTCATTTACAGGTCAAGGTCACACTTAGTCAATTATAATCAATTTGAGCAAAATTCAAAACATTGACCTTAAAAGTATTATAGGCTTGACTTATATGCTCAATTCTTGACGCAAAGTTTGACCTTTATGCTCAAGGCTTGACCTTTATGCTCAAGGCTTGACCTTTATGCTCAAGGCTTGACCTTTATGCATATAAGTGTTGTCAAATCCATGTATAATTCAGCCCGTCTGCCAACATTTAGAAATCTTTTACCAGTATTGTATCTTTAAGAAAACCTGGTTAAAAAGCATGCAAAATCATTTCAATTGCAAGCAGTGCACTAAAACTGTATATAATGGTTATATCATATCTGAGAATAACTAATAGCTGATGCAAGCTGTTGTCTGTAGCTTGCAAAATTAAGATATTAAAACAGTACATGTGTATAAAATGTACATTATATAGAAATTATCACATGCTGATATTCTCATATACTCTATAACGTCATATATCATAATTATATTCAAATAGAAATTTATGTACAACTCTGTACTTAAAAGGAAATCACAGCTATTAACCCTATTCTTTGAAACATACAAGTTATTTCATTTTATTATAATTATATAAATACATTTACAAACAATTAAATATGGTGATATACAATAGTAAAATGTACTTATTTGTTTATAACTTACCATAAGCCCACACATGAATGTTATAAGAATAATCTTGAATACACGAGCACATGTTGACCCCTTTTCTGATTGGTTAATCATCCCTAATTCATCAATATCCTTAGACCACATGTTTTTAGAGACTTATGACATCCTATCAGCAAATAACACTACAAATATAAAAAAAATCCATGTATAATGTATTGAATTTTTCAAACAGTTCTAGTTAAAAACAACACAACACCGTGGTCCATGCCATTCGCTATTTACAAGTTTCAGTATAGATTTCCATTGAATCAATGAAACAGTCTACTGTGTACCTGTAATATTCTGGTATTAATTATTCATTGTGTTTATTACAGTCAGCTGTAATAATCACCGACAATTAATGACATTTATCACAGATATAGGAAGGTCAGTATAAACAATAACAACAGCTTTTTGTTGCATTAACACCATCATGTATCAACATATCATTAAATATCACATTGTTATGACACATTCAACTATGTATGCTTAATTAAGTGCATTACATGTAATTGCAACCTGGTCTATATCCATTTCAGAACTGAGGACTGACTCAGTCATGGGAAATAATGTAGTAAAATAAATAGTATCTGTTTTTGTCTTATACAAATTCATAAACAGGCAATTATGACAAAAATTCTAAGAATATAACTTTCAGAACAATGCAAAGTTTTTGCACAACAACAATAAATACAACAACTCGGCAATTATAATAGCCCAGTAACAGGCTACAAAAAAGTCATTGCACAACAACAACAAAGCAATTATAATAGCTCATTTAATAATAGCTTGGTAAATGTGTAAATACTGCATAAATGAATGAATGAATAAATGAATGCATGAGCGAATGAATAAATAAATAAATAAATAAATAAACAAACAAGCAAATTTGTTGAATTTATATCCCCCGCCGAGTACTGGTTATTACTAACACAACAACTGAAGACATTAGGCTTTATTTATATATTTATCATGGCATAAACAGTAATATTCTTTGAACTTGATAAATATTCAGGGCAATAACAGAGCCATAACTCTGTGTTAAATAGTAATATCTGGAAATGACAATGAGATGTATGCATACTGCATAACTAATCAAGGGCCATAAATCTGAGTTATATGTGTCTGACCGGAACAAGGCGACTATATGCACATCTCCTCTTCGTATCCCATAAAGTTTCATTGAATTCCAGCCAGTAGTTACAGAGAAATAGCACGGAAACGAGTATTGCTCTGGTTGTATACTGCATAAGTTATCAAGGGCCATAACTCAAAGTTAAAATGTCTGACCCAAACAAGGCGACAATATGCGCATCTCCTCTTGGTATTGAAGGTTCCAATAAAGTTTCATTGAATTCCAGCCAGTAGTTGCACTGAAGTAGCGCAGAAACAAATATTTTTCTATATGCATACTGCATAACTAATCAAGGGCCATAACACTGAGTTAAAATGTCTGACACCAACAAGGCAATGATATGCACATCTTCTCTTGGTATTGAAGGTTCCCATAAAGTTTTGTTGAATTCCAGCCAGTAGTTGCAGAGAAGTAGCACGGAAACGTTTTTTGCTCTATATGCATACTGCATAACTAATCAAGAGCCATAACTCTGAGTTAAAGTGTCTGACCCAAACAAGGTAATGATATGCGCATCTTCTCTTGGTATTGAAGGTTCCCATAAAGTTTTGTTGAATTCCAGCCAGTAGTTGCAGAGTAGTAGGGCAGAAATGATTTTTGCTCTATATGCATACTGCATAACTAATCAAGGGCCATAACTCTGGTATTGAAGGTTCCCATAAAGTTTCGTTGAATTCCAGCCAGTAGTTGCATAAAGTTTCGTTGAATTCCAGCCAGTAGTTGCAGAGAAGTAGCGCGGAAACGATTTTTACTCTATATGCATACTGCATAACTAATCAAGGGCCATAACTCTGAGTTAAAGTGTCTGACCGGAACAATGCGACAATATGCGCATCTCCCCTTGGTATTGAAGGTTCCAATAAAGTTTCGTTGAATTCCAGCCAGTAGTTGCAGAGAAGTTTTTTGTTTTTTTTTTGTTTTTTGGGTTTTACGTCACATCGACACAGTATAGGTCATATCGCGACGTTCCAGCTTTACTGGTGGAGGAAGACCTCAGGTGCCCTTCCGTGCATTATTATTTCAGGCACGAACGGGCACCTGAGTAGAACCACCAACGTTCCGTAAGCTAGCTGGATAGCTCCTCACATGAAAGAATCCAAAGTCCCTGTCGGGATTCGAAGCCACAGCGGTGAGGGGCAAGTTGCAGAGAAGTAGCGCGGAAACAGTTTTTACTCTATATGCATACTGCATAACTAATCAAGGGCCATAACTCTGAGTTAAAGTGTCGGACCGGAACAAGCTGACGATATGCGCATCTCCTCTTGATATTGATGATTCCCATAAAGTTTTGTTGAATTCCAGCCAGTAGTTGCAGAGAACTACTCCGGAAACGAAATTCGGACGGACGGAAGGTCACGGACGGACAACGCCAAAACTATATCCCCTCCCGATTCCATCGGCGGGGGATAATAAATAAATAAATAAATAAATAAAAGGTATAAACATTTTTAGCAATTCACTACCACACAATATACTGTCAATGGTATAATACTATTAAGTTATTCATTAAAATAATCGTTATTCATTTTATATGGCCAGCTTCATTAATTTACAACTAGTACAAAACTTGCATTAGGTGATAGCTTATGAACAAACTTTGATCAATTCAACACTAGAACAATATCTTCTTAACTCCTAATGTTGCATGGTAGCTAAAACTCTATAATTATATACGATATCGACATATGTCAAGTAAAAAATTTCAGCATTAATAAATATTATTATAACATGTAGCTCTAAAAAGGTAAATATTTAAAGATTATCCAATTTACATATTTAGTAGACAGGTACATTCATAAGGGTACATAACCAAGTGTTAGTCATTGTGAAAATGGAATAGATTCAGGTTTTCATTATTAACAGATTGTCGATCCATATCATTAGTTAAAATGCTGTTAGTTGTATTTTTAGCCTGAAGATTAAAATATTTCCCTTGACCCCTGGAGAAATCAGTTGTTATAGTTGGCACATCTGTTGCCTTTGTTAAAAATCCTGTAGACTATAATAAACTGTTTACATATACCTTTTCTAGAAGCTTTTCCTATTAACATCTATTTTTCTAAATTAATGTAAACAAGAGCCATGTCAACATGGCCATCCCCCGCCGAATGTGTTTGCTCATTGGAAGAATGTATATGTAGTAGAGCGGAATAATTCCATTTTAAGAGGTCTTTTGGTAATGAAAACTGATGGCTATAATGATTACAGATTTGAAACCTATGTGAATACTGATGGCTGAAAATAACAAAGGGCAATTACTGAAAAATAATGCAGGGTAGGTTATCATTCTTGTGTGCTGCATCCCTCCTCAGTAAAATCTATCCACCTATGAAGTTTCAAGTTGATACCTCAAATACTTTTTGAGAAAAAAATTGAATTGAAAAATTAAGTATGAAAAAGAACAAAGGGCAATAACTCAAAAATTATAAAAGGTAGAGTTATCATTCTTGTGCAGTGCACACCTCCTGAGTGAGATCTATGCACCTATGAAGTTTCATTTTGATATCTCAAAGGCTTTTTGAGTTATGCTCTGGACAAAAATTAATTTTGAAAAATAACAAAGGGCAATAACTCAAAAATAATGCAGGGTAGAGTTATCATTCTTAAGCACTGCACTCCTCCTCAATGAGATCCATCCACCTTTGAAGTTTCAAGTTGATACCTCAAATACTTTTTGAGATAAGCTCTGGACAAAATAACAAAAAAAAAACAAAGGGCAATAACTCAAAAATTGTATAGGGAAGAGTTATCATTCTTGCACACAACACTCCTCCTCAATAAGATCTATCCACCTATGACATTTCATGTTGATATCTCAAACACTTTTTGAGTTATGCTCCACTCAGGTGAAAAATTAGGTATAAAAATAACAAAGGGCAATAACTCAAAAATTATGAAAGGTAGAGTTATCATTCTTGTGCACTGCACACCTCCTGAGTGAGATCTATGCACCTATGAAGTTTCATGTTAATATCTCATAAGCTTTTGGAGTTATGCTCTGGACAAAAATCAATTTTGAAAAATAACAAAGGGCAATAACTCAAAAATCATGCAAGGTAGAGTTATCATTCTTGTGCACTGCACTCCTCCTCAATGAGGTCTATCCACCTATGAAGTTTCAAGTTGATACCTCAAATACTTTTAGAGATATGCTCCGGACAAAAATGTCGGACGGAAGGACGGACGGACGGAAGGACGGAAGGACAGAGACTATTTCTATATCCTCCGCCGAAATTTTTCGGCGGGGGATAATAAATGTAAAAGCAATCCCCTCTCTAGCAATCACTGCTTATGAGTGACAATCCAAAAATTTACCTGGAATTTGTCTGATAATTCTTAAGTTGTCTCCATTATAGATTTCAATGTTTCATCTATTATTAATATTAAATAATAAAATGATATTTATTTTATATCATCCAGTATCATAACAGTCCGCCTTAAATATTCATGGTATTAACTCAATGGCTCACTTCATAAAACATTGAAAATTTATGATATACACCAACAATTTAGCCTGATAATAAATAAACAATGGATCTTGTCAAAAATTGCTGCATTGAAGCAGTATTTCAATAACACATTTACTTTGGTAAATCACCCCTAACTATTAATCAGTCAAGAAAATTGACTGTTCATAAAATTAATTTCAAACATTACATTGGTAAGCAGGGATTTTTTTTGGCTTGTTTTATAGTCGATATTCGGTCATATTCCCAATTGAAAATAGTATATTATTTTCCCAATCGAAAGGAAAAAATTCCCAATTGAAAGTTACAAAATAAAAATATTGAATAAAAACTCTAAAATCTTTGAAAATGTGGGCTTCTTCACTGTTATATTGCTTAAATGTTTGAAGATGCCATCCTAGACAGTGGTTGTTTGCATTATTTAATCACTGCAAGTTTTAAGTCATGCATTTTTTCCCAATTTTTAACAAAATATCGTTGAAATTCCCAATTCCATGGGTATGGGTCAAGTTCCCAAAATCCTGAGAAAAAACCCTGGTAA